GACTTCCGGCTTTAGGATGTCACTGTCCAAGTGCATGAAGGTGTGCATGGGGAGTAGGTGCTTTGCTGACTGGGGACTGTGGTTTCCATACAAAATATCCCTGCCTCCCCTGTGAATTGCAGAAGAGCCTTTCTAGGCAAATCCTACCTTGACTTTGTTCCTGAGGGGTTGCATCGATTGCCTGCCAGCCATCAAACCCTGCAGGCAGGTCCGTCCGCTTCATCCAGACGTCGTTCCACACGTGGAAGTTCCTGTGTGCATTTGGGTTGGAAAGAAAAGGAGTGAGGTGTTACAGCCAGAAAGTCACGATCTCCTTTCTTAATCCTTAAGTAAGGGCAGGTTTAATGGGGATTTGCATTTAACCGTGTGAAACCCCAGGCTTTCTCTCTCTCCTGGGCAGCAAACCCGAAGCAGTAGGGAAATTCTCAAGGGAAAGGCTCCTGGGGCTGGGAAACGCGGCGCTGCAGAGCGGCGTGGCGGGTAGGAAGCATTGGCCCCCTTTGGCAGTACCAGATAGAGTCGAAGGACAGCGAGTTCAGCTTTTCTCCAAATTCGTTCATGTAAATGTCGACTGTCAGGTTGTCATTCGTATCGTGTGCCGAGTCAAAGTTACTGACACACCGGGATGGGATCCCCAAGCAGCGCATGACTGCAGCACAGACAGACAAAACACAGGCACAAAATCACTCAGGTTGGTGGGCACCTCTGGGGATCGTCTCATCCAACCCCTCCTCTGCCCACCCAGGGTCCTCTAAAGCAGGTGCCCAAGACTGTCCAAATGGCTTTTGAATATCCCCAAGGATGGAGACTCCATCATCTCTCTGGGCAACCTGTGCCAGTGCTCCATCACCCTCACAGTAACAAAAGCTTTTTTCCCATGCTCAGACTGAACCTTCCATGTTTCAGGCTGTGCCCATCACCTCTGGTCCTGTCACTGGGCACCACTGAGAAGAGCCTGGCTTTGTTAGCACCATTTCCTCCCGTTGGGTATTTATGCACATGGATAAGATTCCCTGAGCTGTCTCTTCTCCAGGTTGGGCAGTCCCAGCTCCCTCAGCCTCTCCTTACACAACAGACCCTGCCACCTCCGGAGCACTGAGGCACGGCAATTTGGCTTATTGGTGCGGTAAATAGGATATCAGAGAAGGGAGACAGTTCACTGTTTACCTGTAGTGAGGACTCCTGCAAAGACCCAACATTGACCATAAAAGACTGGCTTCTTCGTTTTGTAATACTGCTGCAGAATCGCGACGCTCCCGATCCAATCCATAGGGGAGGTCCCGTTGATGTAATTCCCTGACCAGTTCCCCAGCAGGACACCGCTGTCATCATTGGCATTAACCTGTGGCCACACACACAGGCAAAGGAGAAAAGTAAGGGGATGAGGCTGAATGAGGCTTAAACCCTGGGGTCTCTTCCCACCCTGTGGCTCCCCAGGTGCTTCCCAGCAAGGCTGCTGGTGCTGGCTGGCGGCGCCCCTCGTTGGAAACCCTCCACCTGGATATCTCAGGAGAGGTGGCACTGCTACTCGGGGCAGCCATAATACATTCTGCATCTTGTATCCTAAAACCCAGAACTCCCAGGACGGCCCTACTGCAGAGAGCAGTTGCCCTCCCCAAAACACAACCCTGGGGAAGGACAACCGCCAGGGCAACTGCAGGTTTTGGAGATGAAGAGATGCTGCATTTCACTTGCCTCTCCCCTTCACCCAAAATGCCTCTGGCTCTTTCCTTGCAGTTTCCCAAAGGAATCCATTTCAGATGCATCCTGAAATGGTGTTCAAGGCCCCAAGGAAAGAAGAGCAAGTAAGAAGTAGAAGAGAAAGCTGGAGGGGCAAAGCCCTCTCTGAGAGAGGCATACCAAAGCAGACATGGCTCTGGACACCATCACAGGATCCTTTCTGTTGCTCAGCTTGAGTTTACTTTTGTCCAGCAGATCCATGCAAGTGTCCAAAATTAATTCCTCAAACTGTTTTGGAGAGAAAGTGGAGACATTTTAGGTACCACTCTAAAACAGAATTAGCTCAATCACTACAAAGTCTACCTACGTACTTGGAGGAAACTGTCTGACTAGTCCTAACTTCTAAACTTTCCTCATGATATTGAATTTTCAAGCCTACAGGGCTTCCCAAAGCTGTTCTCTCCAAAGAAGGGCTTAAACAAAAACCCACCTTGGTAGAAAAAAGTCTGTCTCACGTGTCATGCAAACACAGCTGGAACCTGACCCAGCAATCTTGACTCCTCTGAGTAGTCCTAAGTCACCTATGTCCTCTCCCTGTAGCTTTGCAAATTACTCACAAAAGTAATGAAAATTTAAGAGTGCTACAGATACTCAGTTCTATTGACATAGGTACAAAATGAACCCTGGGAAAAAAATAAGGAACATAAATGCAGATTATTACAGCAAAAAGATTTCTAATTAGCAATTATCGATAAAGCTCCCTTAGGTCCAATTCACAGAGATGTCAAACATCTGATCCGATGAATCTTGGCAGAATATCAATATCAATTCTCATTGCTTAATGGCAGGATAAATATTAGGATAGGAACAGCCCTATGGACAATGCCATTTGGCCCCGTCATGGAAAGGGCATCAGCACAAGCACTTTTGCTGGGCTATCTCCATCTTGCAGCTTGAAATGGCAGGCATAAAACAAAAGAGAAAGAAAAAAAAAAAGAAAAAAAACACCCAGACTCCAACATTTCTTAGTGGGGAAGTCTGTCTGGATAGGGTGCGGGATGCTCTGTTTGGGTGCCTGTGTGCTTTGTACCGGGCACAAATAAACCTGCTCTGGCATCCACCTCTTATCTCCAGCCTATCAAGTTTGTCGTTCCACTCCGCTGGAGTTATCTCAGAGGCAGCAGAGAGGAACACCCTTCCTGAGCGCGCGGGCTGATGGTGCCTTGCACCCAGCAGCTCGCCTCGCAGTCCGTGAGGGCACTGCTTGAACAATGACAACCTCTGCCAGGACTTTTCCTCTATATTTTCCCAATCATGATGCAACAGGCAGATCATCAGATTTTTCAACCCTCTCTCCACAGTTCATGAGCTGGTTACTGACAGCTGCTGCTGTTGCATGGCAGTGGGGAGGACTCCTTACCGGAGTCTTTTCAACCAGAAATGCTCCATCCCCAATTTCCATATCCTTTGCCAGGGGTCTCACTACGTGCCGTTAAACCCCGTTCTCATGCTATGGCTGGGGAAAATACTTAAGCATGCAGATGCACATTACTCCAAGCAGGTGAGTTCTCCCAGTGAAGCTGGCAGGATTATTTGAGTGCTTTGAGCTACTCACAAGCTTGAATTGTTTATAGGCCTGATTCATGGAAACGAACGCCTAAGGGAGAAAGAGCGTAATAACACCAACAAGACAGCTGTGTTTTACCTGCCCGAAATTCCAGGGTCTATTGTATATGCTGTATGCAGACCCAACATAGATGTAGCCTGTATCGTTGAGCACGTACTCGTTTCTCTGTGCCTCATCAGCCAGGAAGACGCTATCACCTGGAGAAAAAAAGCCCTGAGATGTTAGGTGGTCTGCACACACGCTATACAAAATTTTCCCTGGAAAGTTAAACTCGGGGAGCTGGTGGTCTGCAACATTCATATCAAATGATGACTGTGCAGCACTCACTTGTTTCTCTATAGTGGAAGAATTTCCTATAAGGTTACTCTTTATTTTACCCCTGTAGGACTGACTACTGCTATATAACCATTGTTTTATTTTAGCTAAATGCTTCTTTCTGAACAAACACTTTAGTGGACTAGGTAGACAGCAGTGAGAACTGGGGGGCTGATGCCAACCAACAATAAATGTTTTTTTTTGTCTGGTTATTTTTTTTCCTGGATTTTAAGCCAACCCAGTCCTCTCAGGTAACCTTTGTGCTGGCCCGGGAAAACAGAGTGGGTGCCACAGAGGTGCAAACGGAGGTGACAGAGACAATGATGTCCCTTAACCGGCCATGGAGAACTCCTCAGCAAGGAGTTGGCTTATTGCTATTGTCTAACTTCCACTGGCTCCGCGAGGACACTGCTTGTGGTGTTCTAGGGAGAAAAAGCAAGGTATGTGGGAAAGAGAGGAGGAAAAACGTGAGAAGAAGCCCTCCCAAGGACAATCCCTGGCAGCAGTAATTATCACCCCTGTCTGCTGGACCACTCACCTTCGCACCAAGGATTGAACAAAAGGTAGACGGCACCGTCTTCGGGCTTGTAAATGTTAGTCCCAGTCTTCACGTTCAGGGTGTATTTTCCCACTGGGGCCCAGGGCGAGCTGGTGACAGACAGCAGGCACTGGGGAGGCGACAGAAGAGACAGCATGATGGACCCTCCACCGTGGCCACAGGCACAGCACAAGTACAGCACGAGCATGGAAGGTGGTGGCCACGGGAGTGCACGTGGGGGAAGAGGGATGGTGCGCACACTGCGTGTGCCGTGGGAGAGCAATGAATTTAACAGGGCAAGGCTGCTGCCCACTGAAAATTACAGGGCTGAGGGAAAGCAGAGTGGAGTTATGAGGACTTGTTCTATTGCTCCCAATGGGCTCAGTGTTGCCGCCCTCAACCATTGCCCGGCGCGGGAGCACAGCCCACAGGCTCTACCTCTTTGCCGCTGTGCTTGACAATGGAGATTTGCCACCCGCTGAGGTCTGGCTCACGCCTCGGGTTCAGCGACATCAGGGTCCCCCTGATTTTCATCGGCTTTTCACCTGGAAACAAACCCAACATGAGATGCAGGAGGGTCGCACAGGTTTGCAACAACTGCACAGCATCGGGTGGCAGGAACAGGCAGCCGGAGGCTGCTGGTGCTCTCCCGCTTTGCCTGATGGCCACAGAAGGGGGACTCACCGATGCCGAAACGCAGCGTCAGCTTGTCAGTGGCCATCAGCTCCCTGCTGAAGGCAAGCTGGATATTAAAGGCTTGTCCGCGCCGCACCACCAGCTTCTTGATGTTGTACGCATCCGTGTGGTGCAAGCGGCAGTTCTGGCTCTTGAGAAAGTCAATCCCAGTGACCTTCAGATCAGTCCCTGGAAAGTTGTTAGCAGAGATGGAGAGAGAAAAAAGAGAATGGAGTTGATGGTAAATTGCTTCTTCTTAATGGAGCCCTGTGTGTCATCAAAACATCAAAGCGTTCAGTGGTCTAGCACAAGGAATCACACCAAAGATTACCAGAGCTACTGAATTGTACAACTGTTTTTATATATATATGTGTATATATATACAAACACACACAATACTATACTATACTAACTATATGTATATATAAACACTATACGTATATACACATATGCTATACAACTACACTAGCTATATATGGACTTTTTACAAGGGCGTGTAGTGATAGGACAAAGGGCAGTGGCTTTAAACTGAAAGAGGGGAGATTTTGATTAGATACGAGGAAGAAATTCTTCATTGTGAGGGTGGTGAGGCACTGGAACAGGTTGCCCAAAGAAGTTGTGGATGCCCCATCCCCGAACCTGTTCCAACCCAGGCTGGATGAGGCTTTGAGCAACCCGATGTAGTGGAAGGTGTCCCTGCCCATGGCAGGGGGTTTGGAACTAGATGATCTTTAAGATCCCTTCCAACCCAAACCATTCTATGATTCTATATATAAAAATATAATATAGTATAGTATGGTATCATATAATAGAACATTATATAATGTAATGTAGTGTAATATAATATAACATAACATAACATAAACACTTAGCATATGTATACAGAGATATAGAGACAGTCATGTTGCTGGGCTGGGTTACAGAGGCTGGTGGTGGTGAGCATGCTGCAGCGATCCACCCGGAGCAGGGACGAGCTCCTGCCTGAGTGGCTGGGGCGTGCCTCTGCCTCCCTCTTTTGCTGCCAAGGGAGTCTGAGGGATGTTTGAGCTCTGAGGTGGCCTTGTGTGAGTGGGGAATGAGCAGCTTGAGGACTGTCATAGTGATAGGAGACATAGCATGAGGATTTCAGCCTCTGCTGGCAGCTGGGCACCCAGCTGGCAATCCAGCCCCTCCAGGCATCAGAGCTGCCCACGGCGCTCCCCTGGGGCTGCTTCCTCAGCAGCCAAAAGGCTTCGAATGGGATCTCACTGCTTTGGAAATCCACGTCTGCTGGCCCACTGCCTGCCCTTGCACGCTGCCATTTGGCCGTGGGGACCGGCAGGGGGGCGGCCACCCCCCACCAGGGAGATGGCATGGCTGAAAGTTTTGTTGCAATACTGAAAGTCTTGCTTCTGCAAAAGTCTTGCTTCTCCCTTGAAAGTGGAGTGGGGATAGTGCATCCACATCCCATCCCCACAGCTGCTGCGGGGCACGGGAGCCCACCAAAGGTCCTGACCACCACAACATCCCCGTGGGCAGTGCCCATGGTCCTGCCACGTCTCTAAGCCCTCTCCTCCTTGCCCCCATCTGCTCAGCTGCTTTGCTGGTGGCACCTCATCCAAGCCAAGGCTGTGACAGCACCTCCCGTTTGTTGCATGCCTGTGCCTTGCCAAGCGCATCATGCATCAGCTCCTTGAGTATTACAAATGTTTCTGCAGTCTTGCAGGTATTAAAATAACAGTAGTAGTAACAGTAGTAGTCCTAGTAGTAGTAATATGGACAGGTGAAGAAAGCATTGCTTGCCAAGGCACGTTCAGAGGTGACATTCCCAAGCAGTCCCCACCTGGCACAGCAGCTTAAAAATTAAACCTCACTGTTGGTATTTTATCTCAGTTTATTTCCCTCTGATCAAAGACTAGCCTTATATTAGCATTGAACACATCCTTCATGATTATTGAATAATAACGAACAGTAGTTTTAATTGCTCCTTGCAAGATGTAGCACACATAGTCAAGCTGGAAGTGAACTGAATATGCCAAAATTTGGCTCCTCTCGGTTGCTGAGATCCTCAGTCTCTGGGATGCTGTGAGTCTGGAACATGGAACTCTTCAGGACTCTGAGGATGATTCTTTGTATTTTCCCCTCAAAAATTAGTCCCAAATAATATCACAACTCTCATTAATGGACTGCTTATGGAAATCTGCATATGTGAATCTTTGCAAGTTTTGTGGTGGTGTTTTGTTGGTTTTTTTTGGTTTTTTTTTTTTTTATCCCAAGTGCTTGGGATAAAACAACCCACGTAACCAAAGGCACGTCTTGGGCTGGGAGCCAGCTGTGCTGTAGAGGTGCTGCCTGTCTGGGGGGGATGCTAAATGTGGAGAGCAGAGCACTATAAAGTATAGTATAATATAGTATAGTGTAGTATAGTATAGTACAGTACAGTATAATATCATATCATATTGTACTGTAATATAATATAATGTAATGTAATGTAGTGAAATATAAATGATATAATACGATATGATACGATTTGATTTGAGGCAAGTGCTCGTCCCTGCTCTGGGTGCAGCACGCTCACCACAGAGCACTGTCCCCCTTCATGCCAACTGGTGCTTTTACCATTTGACTTCAGCAGTTTTGGACTCCAGCAAGAGCCCCTGCCAGGTGCCTCACTCCCATTCATTCCCAACACAGCAGCTGATTTTGTAAGACATGGCATTTAAAATCACCGACTCCCGGGCTGCTCTCTGCTCCTGCAACTTCGGATAGGAGCAGGGCTGGGAAAAGCCCTGGCACCTCTGTGCCCTGTGGCTCACGGCTTGGGGCTGGGCGTAGGAGTGGAACTCTGAGAGGCACAACCCGGTGATACACCTAAGCAAAGAGAAAGCCCTCAGCTTTCAATGAAGACGGGGATTTGGGGGTTACTGTGTCAGGCTTTGGCAGGCTGGCCAGGTGTGACGGGGAAAGCTGGAGCATGCCAGAACATGACCAAGCTATATTTCTTCCAAAGTGTCTAACCTGTCTTGTACCTGCCTATTAAATATCCTTAAAGGATAAACTCCATGTAAAGAGTAGGGAGTAACAATACCACAAAAGCACTTGGCTCACGAGTGATTCAGATGAAGATATGGGAGAGTCAGGAAATTTAAAACTGCTTATGGTAACTCAGAAATTAGCAAGTCAAAGGCATAATGGTTCAAGGGATTAGTTTGCAAAATATCTTGACAGATTCCTGCGGTACCACGCAACCGTGCTAACTTGAGTATCAACAAGAGCCATCCCTAACATCAAAGAGGCTGAAATCTGCTGGTAGCTGCTGTGGTATGAGATGCCGCAGGCAGGGCTGGAGCCAGGGCAGGCTGAATTTGGTGGCATGCCTCCCGTTGTGACCTGTGAAGGGCAGCGCGGGTCGTTGAGTAAACTGACCTGACCGCCCAAGGATCCCCACCAGGTTACTACCTGAGTGTATTTCTTCTTCGTAACTATATAAACAGTATTCATCTTAATCACGTATTACATAACAGTTATCAGTGGTACAGCAAATAGACTTAAAATTGACCATAACCTTTCATCAACTGATTTCACTTTTGAGCACTTTTTGTTTGCTTGCTGCCTGCCAGATGCCAACCTCAGGCTGATGTTTTGCGCAATGGGGTTTGTGCGTGGGTATATGCCAAAAAATTTCAGCTGAAATTGCTTAAGCCTCTTGAGAAGGATGAAGGGAAGCACGTCTTTGTCAGCATTAACAAATCTCCAGCCACCAAAGCAGCTCAACCTTGTTCCTTACAGAAACCCTGGAGCTGGGCTGAGAAGCTACCAGAAAACAGCCCTGCTGATGGAAGACGGCTATGGAGGGATGCGGGAGCTGAATGCATAGGATGGCTGTGGGAAAGGGCCCTGTGGAATGCATCCTTCTGGCATTCCTTAGCTCAGGGACTGCATCTCCATCCCCTATTTCTGGACATCACTGATGTTGAGGATGCAGAGAGAAAAACCGCAGAAAACACCTGCCTTGGAATGTGCCCTGACAGTGCAGAGCATGGTGCCAAAGACCTGTCCCCACGCAGCGCCGCCCGTCAGTTACGATTTATAGCAGCGCTGAGCATGCCAAGAACGTGTCCACCCGCGGGACGGAGGCTCGAGGTGCAAGAGGCAGCCCTGGCTGCGCTTGCTCTTGGGGCAGGCCAGAAACAAACCCAAGTCCTGCCAGATAACTTTTTCCTTTTTTTTTTTAGAAGAAATTTCAAGACAGTATTTTTATTTTTATCTCCTAGTTCCATGATTTATCCCTTCTAGAGCTCCTTCCTACACTAACCCAGTGGCCCCATCGCTTCCAACCTCAATGGGAAGACAATCAGAGCTTTGAGAGCACAGCGATCATCCAGAACAAAAATGGGGACATGATAACATACAGTTACTTTGCACTGGTAAGGATCTGGGGCCTTTTTTCCATGAGGATGAGGTGATGGTGTTTAAAAAAATATATTAATATGGAGCAGAGCATTTATAGTGTGCCTGACTTCAGTGGGAACAAGTGCTGCTCAGAACGACAAGAGGGAAGTGAGATGGGAACTGTAGTTCTGCAGAGAGCAAAATTTGGACACCTGCATTTACTCCTCATCCTTACCCAACCTCCAGCAAACACTCTCTCACATCCTAGAGACATGAGATCACATCCCAAAGATGCTGCTGTTCAAACTTCCCGGAAAATTTCAGCTCATCCACACCCAGAGCACAGAGGTGTGAAATGGAAGGGCTCGGAGCAATGTCGAAGGACACTCTTCCCCTGCTGATGGCTGTAGAGACTTGCTCCTGACTCTGCTGCAGGCACCATCCAGCTGCTCAGCTACACCCCAAACCCCAGGGGTTTTGGGTATCCTTGAGGTTAGGCTGGCCTCAGGAGTACAGCCAGCACAGCAGCTGCTACAGGAGTGACTCAGACACCTTTCTAGGTACGTGTGGCATTGCCTGACAAAAGGGCAGGCAGGATGGCCGTGGGATGGAGTTCAAGTCCAAATAAATCCCCTTTTCAGTTATTTCGACACTTCTGTCAGATGGTATCAGCCATCACTAAAAAGCAATAATCTACACAATTAAGTAGCTAGAAAGAAAAAAATTCCTTTCACCTTAACACAGAACAAGTTTAGAAAAGCTGCATTTCTTTCTCATTATCACTGACAGAGCCAGATGTCTACAGGTTGATGAAAGTGAGTTACATTTTTCATTTGGTTTACCGATCCATCAAAACCTGAATTCACATATCCAGAGCAAACTTACCCTCACGGGCCATGGTGTCACCCACGGCAGTCAGAGGTGTGAGAAACCCTCCAACTCCGCTGCCATCCTCCCCACAGGAGTGCTGCCAAACTAACACAGGCTATCGTGTCGAGCTTTAAAAACTTACCAGCGTTATCGCCCATGGTTCTTGTCAGCGTTGCGTCCCGAGGTGCCTGCGATGCCAGCAGCTTCTGAGCTCCTGAGTAGCCTTTGCCACTTGCTTCTGAGAGTGGAGAAGGAAGGGAGACTGCCCTTTTTATCAGTGTCTCGCTCTGAGGTGTCAGCAGGTCCACTGCCAAGGGGTGGTGTTTAGAGAAAGGAAGTTCCTGTGGAAAAAAAAAAAATGACTAGAACTCCCTCTGCACATAGTCAGACTCTGAAAAACAGCGAAACTTAAATCCCGACTCACATGGAAGGTGGATTTGCACAATCAGATGACAAGTGGACAGACCCTTCACTGACAAACTGTAAAATCATGGGCTAGATGAGTAACAAGAATGTACCTGGGCCCTAAGATCCAGGTTACTGGGACTGCAACTGGAGGGCTAACTTTACAAGGCAGCCCACAAACATTTAATCCTTAGGAAGACACTTTCCCATTAGGACCAGTCTAACTTTCTTTGAAGTTAATGAGATTTTTGTCATCGCATTTGATTCAGCAGTACTTGAAGCTGTGGGCTAAAATCCAGCATTTACGTGTGTGGGTTGGAAAGCCCAAGGACCCTGGCACCGGCCCACTCCCCTTGGGGTCAGGCGCATGCCAGGGGGGATAGCCCACTGGAAGCACCGGGTGGGAAAGAGGAGAAACAAGCCATGTCCAGGAGGAGCAAGAAACAGGGTGGATCAGGAGCTGTTTGCTGGCTGCTCTTTGCTGACAGCTGCACCAAAGGTCTCTGCCCAGGAGATGGCTGGACCCCACATACTCCACTGCCATCCTCAAGGTGACCAAAGATGGAGAGATAAGTCTACCTCACAGAGGGGAGTGCTGGTGGCACACAGGCCAACAGCAACACAAGCACAGTGGCCAGAAAGAGACAGAAACATGTCCCCAGATACTCAGAAGTGAAGAGGTGGCTCAGCTGTGGGAGCAGCCTCAGGCCCCGGCACATTCCTTCACGGCAGCAGCCCAGGGTCCAGCAAGGTAGGGTTCAGTCTGCAAGACTGGTGAGTCTAAATGGAGGATTTCCCTAAACAAGATGTCCCTGTGGAAGCGTTCAAAGGCACTGACTTTCCTCCCTCAATTCAGGTAGCTAGGTATTTACTTTAGGACTGTTTCATTTGGTGCTGAAACGTCAGCGCAAGCTGGGTGCCGAGTTAGCAGATCCCACCCTTCGAGCATGTCAGTGCTTGCCAGCAGGGGTATGTCAGATGTCCTTACTCGAGAGCATGACTGGCACATCCCAGGGCACTGAGGGGTCAGTACACATCTATAATCTCACAGGACATCTGTATGAACATCTGAACTGCCAATGTTCTTAGCAGACAGAGCATCACTCACCATTCAGCACTGGACAATGTGCTGGCAATTACATATTTCACTATTGACCAAACCACGACAACCCCAATTTACCTTTCAGTGTTGCTTTCACTCTGCATTTCTTTCGTCCTGGAGGGTGAAAGACATTATTGTTTAGAACCAGCATGAGGTGAAGTAAAGTATACATAGAATGTTGGTACAATCACATAACCAATAATACATGTAATCTGAACATTTACGATGTATATTACTGGTTTCCACTTCATTGCAGCAACTGAGTAATCCACTTCACCTAAAGTCACTGACAGTAGCTTTCTAATCTAGTCTCAACCTGTTATATAGATGTATCATTCCATGCTTGGTTGGAGGCAGCTTACTTTGTGTTGACACTACAGTCCTACAGTAAAAACTACAGATTTTTGCAAAGAGGAATGGGTTGATGTCGGTAATGCTTTGCTCCTGAAAAAATTTACGTAGATGCATGCTGGAGGGTCAGCAGAGGAGGCAGGGTGTGTGCTCACCAGGAACAGTCACGTTTCCAGTCCTATAGGGTTTTGCAAAAGGCTGATTTCAACAGTGTGCATGTTCTGACCCTGACTTCGAACCTCAGAGTTCAAGAGTGTAGAAGTTCTACAGGGTGAACCTTCTGCCCTGCCATGAACCTCGTCCATCTTGGAAGGTGGCTGACCTTTTCACTGTCTACAGGATTTTTTGGTTTATGCCAGCAGACAGCATCTAGCTTTCAGTTCTCCTTTCACCTCGCACAGCTGCTGGTCTTGCCTGCTCCCATTATGTTTTCCTATGCACTGGTAGTATTTCAACTCAACCGCACTAAACTTGGCATATGATACAACAGCCCTACAAGAGCTTCCTCCCCTGCCTCGTACAAGCTCGCCCTGCCAGGAAAGGCCATTGAACTGTAACACCCTCCAGGACAAGGGTTGCCTTGTTGGCAAGGTCTAAGAAAAGGGATTTCAACCTAAAACTGCAGGAATGTTTTGCATCACCATGGGTTTAGCTTGTTTCATGATGTCAGCAGGTGATCTCTGTCCTGCCTGCAGGCAAATCTCCTTTTGTCTTTGCTGGCTAGAGTGGCCAGAGTGAAAAAAGTTCAGCAGTGTGGCTTTTTTTCTTCCTCCTTTGGAAAGCTACGAAAAATACCAGCCCGTTTGATTTTTTTTTTTTCCCCAAACAGTTTCAACAGTTAATCACTTCAATCCATCTCATAAAAGTATACTCTTCTAATCAAAAGAAACAGGAGATGTTATCTTTTTCACAGGCAATCTCCAGCCTATTAGCAGTAACTTCAGCAACTCACTTCCCAGCTTGCAAAATCAGACACCAGAGGCTATCAGCCTTATCTGCATCTGTATGCTGCAAGGTAAGTCACCTTATTAGCTGGCATAAGAAGGTAACAAAATGCAAACAAATAAAATCAGAATTCCCAAGTGGCTGCTCCCCTATTTACAAGCTTGCCCTTTGTCTTAGGTTTTGTTTATTTTGTGTATCAAAATGACAAGAACAAGTCAAAGTTCCAGAGCATGACACAGATACTGATGCCAACTAGGAAGGACATGAAGCGCAACCCAATCCTTAGCTTTACGGTTTTACTCACTTGCGACCCCATATCTAGTTATGGAGAAGTTGCCTTTTATAACAGTAGGGTACTGACCTACATGTTTTATAACCATCTAAGTCTTCACATTGTTTGTTTTGTCTTTTTTTTTTTTTTTTAATACATCCAGTCAGAGTAACACTCAAAATACAGATCAAAAGCACCACAGGTTTCCTTTTCGGCACTCTGGAAAGGTGGACTAATCCTTCCAGTTACCCTGCAACGTTGCTCCAAGGCGCCAAGGAATGAGTGATGCATCCACCAAGGTACACATACATACAGACCACGTCGGGGTCCTGAGGGGCACCACGGCGAGAAGGTGCCTTCCATTGACCACAGCAGGACAGCTCCCACATGTAACATCTAGTATGTGTTGAGTCCTTCCTGAATCACGGCCTAGGTAATGGTAAGTAATGAAAAATCTTGGGGGGATAAAAAGAAAAAAAAAAACACCTCACAGATGGACAACAGCTGAGGGTCTGGTTCATCTCTTTTGAGCTGGACCTTATTCGAGGTGCTATGTTAGTCTTCCCCTCATCATTTCATTACACTTGTATCTTGGTCATTAAGAATTTCAGAGTAGTCAGATGCATCTCATCCATGTAATGATCTGGACATGTTGTGCTCCAGTTACTCTGAAAGGAGCGTTGATCTCATCGCTTCTCACTCATGTACACCAACTATGGGCCCAGGCAGTGGCCTGTCAGCTATGGCCTGAAGCCATCCTGTGTTCCCACCAGGCAGATTCTCTTCTAATCTTGCATGAGCCAACTTGTGGCAGGTAATCGGTGTCAGGAGTTGATGCAAGTTTGCCAAGCCCAGATCTTAACTGATTCCAAGTCATCTGGCCCCAGCTACCTGGTAATGAGTTTTTCACAGGCAAATACCAGAGAAATGATTGAAGCCAATAAAATCATTACAGAAATTCCATTGTTTCCTTCTCACTGAGCCTTGAAAGGTTTTTGGACCTAAAGTAAAGGATGTAGGTGACTAGCTTTGGGCATTTACCTCCAGAAGAAATGAAAGCCATATTGCTCTGTGCCGGAGCCAGCACCACTCAGAGAGTCTGCTCCTGAAGAAGGCAAAGACAAAGATAAAACAGATATACCAAAAGTGGGCTTATGGCCTTTCGGTCCCTACTCAGGCAAAATGCTCTTACGTAGCACTTTCCCTGCCCTGGAAGAGAAGTCCTGTGGCCATCACAGGAAATTGAGGTTTTAGGCCAGGTCATCTTGGAAAAATACAGAGCTGCTTTAAGAGCAACTCGAAGCATCATAATGTTAAAATATCTTTTCTGGTTATTTTTTAAGCCCCCTTTTCTCCTTCCCTGGCTGAGATGCAAGAGACAAAATTGCAAAATCAGCCTAGATACAGGGAAGCAACTACATGTAAAGGTTGAACTTGGGATGTCAGTACTATGACTGTTTGACCTTCAACTCTGGTACAGCTGTTGCACTGGAAACACCAAAATAGCCATGCTCCAGTGCTGAGAAGATTATGTTATGTATTGGATTAAATGACTCAGGACAAGGTACTTCTGCTTCTCGGCAAAACACTTCCTTCAAATTTTGTGCAAGAAATGACAAAAGAAGATCTCCATTGTGTCACTTCTTCCAGACAGCAGCTTTTTTTCTTAAATAAAATTGCCTCCTTTTTGAACCTGAGGAACTTACCAGTGTCTGCTGCGTCCTGCGGTCAGGAGTTCCTCAGCTGAATGACACACTGTAGGAAAACGAAGCTCCTCTGGCTTTGAAGCAGTGGCTTGCTAGCTTCCCTTGCAGTCCTCGTCCTTGTGGTAGAGGAGACAGCCAACAGCTATGCCAGCTTACTTTCTCCATGCAACTCACGGTCTTCTCAGTTCCTGTTATGAACCACCACTGCCTCTTTTCCGCACTGAACAGTCCTAGCCTGCTAACTCGCTCCTCACACCTTCATCACACCCTATCAAGAGACCCGAGATGGGTAGAAGGACCCCCCACACCATGCGATCCCGCAGCGTGTGCTTGGAAAGGGTCCAACGGGGCGGGTGCAGTGACTCCAGGGCCGTATCCACCCTGCTGTCACGGACCCATGAGCTAGCTTTGAGGGCCCATGTGTGACCACACTGACTGACTGCAGTGTGGACACACAGCCACAGACTACACCTAAAGCAAACAATATGAAAAGGTACAAGAAAAAATAAAGCAAATGAGGGCTGCAGAAAATAAATGGTAAGGGCAAGCAAATCAATAGCGCAAATATTGAATCAGGGATGAAATAGTTTATTCATATATTAAAAACTGCTTCAGAGAACAAGGAAAATACTGACAGAATACCTTCCCACCTACAGGATATGTGTTTGGTTGCACACGTCTAGGTGAGAAAACAGAAACTTGCATGCCAGTGTCTTCAAGTAACATTTCTTTCTGCAGGGGTGGTGTCACACCTTCTCCCACCTGTCTGTGTGGGGGTGCATGTGTCTAAATACATATAGATGTACACGGTCTACAGACTACAGGTCAGATCATGCCATGCCACATCCCCACCAGCCAGCAGTGTGACTGAAATCACTACGTGGTGTTAAGGGAGAACCTGCCTAGACCAGGAGGATTTGCAGGAAGGAGATGGTCCTGCGCAGTGCTGGAGATCCAGCTTACATGTCATATGGGAGCAGACCCAAAGCACGGTGGGTGCAAAGACTTTGGCCCATCCCTGGACATGTGGATGTCACATGCGGTAGTCTCCTTGGTATGGTGGGACTGACTGAGGGGAGAGATCTGTGGCTGTTTGTCCTGAAAAGCAATCAAGCCAGCATGCTTACCCCTCTTTTCCAGTGTCCAGGCTGTTGTCCTTCCCAGCAGCACAAGATGCTCTCACCTTGGTGGGCAGCTGGACCATGCCCACCAGGGTTTCTTAGAAGGCATTTTCATGCACCCCTGGTTCCTGGCAGAGCCTTGAGTTGCTTAACTCAGGAGTGTCCTGAAGAGAACGAGTCATTCAAAATACTTCCTCTTCGGATGAGGAAACCATAGCTTGTCAGGAGATGTGGCATTTGTAATGCCTCGTCCTTCCCTGGGGCACTGCTCATTTCTCTCTACCTGTTGCCTTAACTGACTGAAAGCAATTAGTTTGGAAGCCCTGGCTGATGTTCAGACTGTGCAAATGCACCAAGAGCAGGTCAGGGTGCCAAGCAGAGTTGCTCAACTCATCTCTTGCTGCAAAAATGAAGAGGCTCCACTTGTGTCAGGGGAGGAGGCGAGTTGCTCACGCGGCCAAGCCTCAGCCGCAACTCCCAGAGTTGGGACAAAACCCCAGTCTGTAGGGGCCTCTGAGCCAAGCGGGATTGAGCAACGGGTTCAAAAGGTACGTGCCTCCAAAAAGCGGTGGTACCATCTGCCACCACACCCCACTTGCTAAAGCTCTTTCCAGCCCTCCCATCCCACCTATTTCCACTGTCGCAGGGGAGCCTCAGTGCTGTGCAAGACCGGCACAGGGGTGAGCGGGGTGTGCATCACCTCCCCCTGGCAAAATGGGAATGGAAGGCCCAACCCAGGAGCTCCCCAGGCATTAAACCAACACCATCAATCCCTTCAGGATTTCAAGGGTGTGCAGCAGCACTGGGAGCTGCTTCGGAAGTCCTGGCAATTAGCACAGCTGTTCATAGCCACTTTTCCTTAAACCCCCAGGAAAAATGAAAACAACAAAGAAGGTTATTGAACAGTCAGAAACCAAAAGGTTTCCTTGGAGAGCGAACAGAGTGGCTGGTTGGTTGCTCAGCAGGGTAAAAAGCGTCCTGTGTATGTCAAGTGCTGTTACCGGACACAGGTCACTGTGGTGGTGCACACAGCTGCAGGATGGAGCACTGCAAGTTCCGGGTGTCCCTGTCCTTTGGTGACACCGCGCTGGGCTGCTGCAGCTGGTCAGCCTTACCCTGCCCTGGGAGCCATGGTCTGTATGGTGTCTTCAAGGAAGAAGCTCCTTTCTACAGAACAGCCGTATTTAATGGGAACTGCCACACTCGCAGTGTTTGCCCTTACAAAAGGGTAAACCAGCTTCAGTTACAGATGGTGTTTCCCATAAAATCCACCTGCAGATCGTAGGAAGTTCAACCATCTGCCCAAATAGGATGGTCACCAACACCAGACTGGGTCAGCTGAGGTCTTGGCTAACCCA